AGGACAGCTGCGCGTATTCCGTGAGTAATTCCTCTCTCCCCTCTGGTGTGGGGTGGGGTGAATTCTACTTCACACAACAGGATCACAGGCCTGGATTGTACCTCCATCCCCTCTGCCTTATGTCCTGTATTGGGTTCGAACATTTCGTGTGGGACACACACAGTGGAGACAAACTTCCTAAGCTCTGAATTCCCTTCCTGGATTCCAGCCACAGCACACTTGCAGCAAACAGAAGGACCACTCTGATGGGAGTAACTCAGCAGAGGGAGAGAGATTCAGTCCAAACCGCTGGGCTCCTCCCTGTGACTCTGAGAAAGACCCTGCAGGGCTCAGTCAGGGTCAGGCCTAATGGGCCCCTGGGATCCCCACCAGAGCTCAGCCCAGAAAGCCCCTGGCCAGACCCCTGTCTCAGGGCTCCTGACTCCACTGACCCTGAGGAGTCCGTTCCAGACGTGGGTTTTGACTTCCTGGCAGGGGGACTGGGAGCAACAATTCCCTGGCTGCCTGAGTCCTGAGGTTCCTGAGCTGGTCACCGGCCAGGGCTCGGCACCAAGAGCCACATCTGGGGAGGGGCAGAGCCTGGTCTTTCACCTGAGACTTGGGGTGGAGAGCAGAGATAGGCAAGGTCCCTGGGCCACTGTCTGATGGCCTTGGGGGATAGGAGACCCCAGAGGAAGGTCAGCGCCCCCAGGGAGGAACAGAGGAGAGAAGATGCTCCTGGCAGCAACTCCCACACCAGGGATCAGGCCCAGGGAGCCGTCCCTCATGGAGGCAAGTAACAGATGTTTATCTGGGCAGCTCCTCTATACCAAGCCTTAGATCAGGTAATTGTGAAGGATTTAAGGTTAATTACAGACAATACGGCAAGCCTGAGACCATTTACTAGATTTTATTGAGGGGAAACGGAGGCACAGGGCGATGCAGACATTGAATCAGAGTCACACAGGCAGATCACAATCCTACAAGGTCTGTCTGCAGGTACAGGCCTGTCTCCTCCCCCCAGGGGGCCTTATCAGGCATCCATGGACCCTGAGACCAGCTGCTGGATCAGACGTTTCTTCTTTGGGATCCATAGCTCAAGGTAGATTTTCTGGTATGGGAAGTGAGAGGAAATGGAAAATTAATGTTTTTACTCAAGAACTAAATTCATCAACGACCAGAGTCAGTTGGGGAATGCCCAGGCCTCCCCTCAGGTGGCCAGTCCACAGCTCCTGCATCAGACTTGGAATCACTTACTGTTTCCTGATGTGCCGCTGGCCTCCCACTGGAGTGTAAGGGAAAGGACTCTGCCCTCTCCTCCCGACTGCATACCCCTAACCGGCACGCGGCCCAACAACTCAATTGCTCTTTCATGAAGGAGGGAAGGAAGAAATGAATGATTCCCAGTCTCTTCAGAGTCTGGACCCTGGATGCACAATTCTAGGAGGTTCTAGCTGCACCTGTTCCCTGTCCCTCCAGGGGCTGAGACCCATGTTCTGTCCCTCTGACCACCAGCCCCTCAGGCCACCACCAGAGAGTCTCATGAGGACTGTGGTGTTGCTCAGCCATGGGCGGATCCTGCCCCTGGGGCGGCTGTGGGCTCTTAGTGCCCGGAGTCTGTGAAGTCCCTGGTGACCCTCACTGCTCACAGCCTGGGACATTTCTGGCTCTCTGCTCCGACCTTGTCCCTCAACTTCCTCCTCCTGCTCCTTTGCATCTGGGACTACCCCTGCTCTGCACAGCCGCCTTTACTAACCCTCAAGCCTTCCCTGGATTCTCCTGCTAACACCTGCGGCCCGGCCCGCCCTCCCAGGCAACAGTAGAGGACACAGAAATCCCAGCGGCATCCTCTGCCGGCCTCCATCAGGAGCCACGTCCCCCAGGTCACCAGGAGAGCGAGCGTTCACAGGGCCCTCATCCAGGACTCTTTCCCTCCGTGACGCCAACGAGTGGAACACACCCCATGACAAGGACATGGGACCCCTTGATCTCCTCTCTACACGACTCCAGCAGGGAGTCACAGGCAGGAGGGCAGGTCTGCAGTCCCCAGCTCATGGGCTCATCTCCTGCCTGTTCCTCCTGACTCACATGCTCGTCCTGCTGAGGCTCTCGTTCTTCCCAGGGCTTCCCCAGACCCTCCCCCGGGGGGCTGGCCAGACTCTGCGCCTTCCGACTGCTTCACTGCCTATTTCACACACACGTGGGTGCTCCTGAGGACACCTTCACCGTAGGGTGGATCCCCTCACACGGTGAGATCCACCAGTCCCTGTCTTTCACTTAGATCCTGCCCAGTTTGGGTAAATTGGATCAAACTTGTGTTTCCTGAGGTCAAAAGAAAGCCACATACAAGCATTGGGTTTCTTTCCATTTTGACTGTAGAAATCGGTGGCAGGGAATTTCCTAAATTTACTAACATAACACATACCATTTCTACTAATTTGGTATCATTCCTCCCTTTATATAACAGAGCACCTCAGACTTTCTCCGATCAATTCTATTTCTTAATAGGACTCACGTGTCGTTCTCTACCCAGGGAGTCACTGATTTCAAACCCACTATAACATCTTCCTTCGTTCATAATGTGATCGTGGTTGGACTGCAGAATTTGGTCCACAGCATATAGTGCTCCCTAGGGAGATATTCCTCTAGAAATGCTCTTAGATTTTTCAGGTATTAATACTGATTTTCATATATGGAAACCATTTAATTTCTCAAATTTCTGTCTCATAACTGTATTTACAAATGGTCCATGAAGGCCAGATGCCCTTCCCCCCACTCCCCCACCTACCACCAGTCACCCCTTCTGCATTTGCAAACACCCACTTGTATTTCAGGAAAGACCAGCATGGTCCTCACTGGCCTCTGCAGTGGGAAAACAGACTTTAAAGACCGAGGGCAGAGCACATTGTTCTCTGCCAAAGCCAGCCAGGCTCTGCCTGTCCCCCTCACTCTTTTCTGGAGCATTTCTAGTCTTGACTCTGCTCCACCACTGTCTC